GGTTTGGGAAGCAACTTTCCAAGATTGTAATCCTTTAGTGTATGTATAAAAAAATGTGGTATTTTATTTTGTATTGTTTCAGGTTTGTTTATAGATAGATAGATAGATAGAGAGAGAGAGAGAGAGAGAAAGAGAGACTGAGGAAAGAGAGAGAGAGAGAGAGAGAGAGAGAGAGAGAGAGGGGCAGAGAGAGAGAGAGAGAGAGAGAGAGAGACTGAGGAAAGAGAGAGAGAGAGAGAGAGAGAAAGAGAGAGAGAGAGAAACAGTAGCCATGACAATGATAATAATCACGATAATGATACTAATGATGATAATAATAACTGCGTAATACCCGTCGAATCAGTCAAGAAATTCCCAAGTACAAATCTTTAGGGATCATACGTGTTCTCAAAAAAAAACAAAAAAACATCAAGGCAAAACTGTAACGCTGTACAAGAAGTAAAATATGTACGGTGAACTCAGGTCAGTAAAATGAAAATGGAAATTTCGGAAATGCTTACCTTTAGCAGGAACAAAAACAAACGAAAACACGGCCATAATATCTTACCAGGAAAGACATGCCCAAAATGGACCCCAACTCCCCCTCTCCTCAAAAAAAAATATAAATAAAAAAAAAAAAATAGAAAAAGAGTAAAGGAGCTTTAAAAACGGAAGAAAGGGAGTGAGAAAAATATATAGTATTAGAGGAATCAAAATCAAAATAAAATTGTACAGGGAAATGAAAACATGTCTCCTTTTGCTTCCCTGGGATAGGGTTTGAACTGTCATTTTTTTCGGAACATTTTAGCTCTTCGATTTCATGCTAATACGGCGTAAAAAAAATAATAGGTTCTTCATTTTTTGAATAATTATGTGCGTGTCAAGTGTAGTTGGTGTTTTTAATTTACGTTCCACTTCTATCGTTTGTCACTTGTTATTTCAGATTTATAGACAACCTTACATGCATGCCACACTCAGACGCACATGTACACACAAAATACATTCGTACCCTGATATGTATACGCACACACACACACACACACACACACACATTTATATATATCTGTGTGTGTGTGTGTGTGTGTGCTGACAAACAGACAGACAGAGAGAGAGAGGGGGGGAGGGAGAGAGTGTGTGTGTGCTGACAGACAGAAAGAGAGAGAGAGAGAGAGAGAGAGAGAGAGAGAGAGAGAGAGAGAGAGAGAGAGAGATTAGATGAAAAGAAGAGAGAAAGAGAAGACAGGAAGAGACAGGAAGAACGTGGCGCTGAAAGTCTCGCTTCATGAGACGATTCCACTTTCCTTCAGTGTCCCAAGTAAGAATGTCATGTAATGGAAAAAACAAAAGGAAAAAAAAAGAGAAGAAAATAACGATCAAAAATTTGCCCTTGTATCCATCTTCACACCATTCGTCAAAACTAAACGTAGGAATAAAGGAAAGACTTGAAGAAATGGAGACACAGAAGCAGAGAAATTAGATAGAAACGAACACCAACAAAGAAACAAAAAGATAATAAAAAATAATGAAAAAGTAAACGTAAATAATAAAAAACAGTAAAAAGTAAGATAAAAATAAAACAGTAATGATGGCCTTTGAAGCTTCTAAAAACGGTAGTTAGCGATTTCCTTAAACTATTGCGAACAATATTCAAAGTTTTGGCCATACGAGTGTTTTTAACTAGGTCACCTAACTTGCTTGCAGGTGTTTGCTGGACTTATTGCGCGTGGGTTGGGTTTTAAATCATTTTGGAGGGAAAATATGAGTAAACTTTGAGTGGAATAATTTTTGGCTGAATGAATCTAGATTTGTAATTTGTTAACTGTTCGATTATGTTGGTGTCATTGTGATATCGGTTTCTTGTTTTATTATCGTTTTCTTACTCTGATGATACGATTTTTCTTTTTTATAATTTTGTTGACATAATTATCAGCATCACAATTCTTTCGACAGTGTCTTTTTACTTACCATTATAAACACTAACATCTTAATCATCCTTATTGTAATCATGTTTTTTTGTTTTTTTTTTCAAAATCACTACTACCACCATCATCACCAAAAACCACCAGCAGCATCCTCACCATCACCACCACTATCATCATCATCACCACCACCGTCACACCAGAGACATTACCACAACTATCACCCTCACCAACATCACTTTCACTGACATTATCACCTCCCACTATCACCACCACTACCACAACCACCATCAACACCACCATTATCACCACCGTCCACCACCACCAGTACCCCCACCACTATTATCACCACCTCCACCATCACCACCGTCCCCACCAAAATCCCCACCACCACCATTTCCATCGCCAGTACCCCCTCATCACCACCACGATCACCACCACCACGATCTCCACCACCATCTCCACCACCAGTACCCCCGACATCATCACCCCCATGAGCTCCACCACCATCTTTACCACTAGTACCTCCACCACCATTATCACCACCGTCCTCACCAAAATCCCCCCACCACCATCACCGCCACCACGATCTCCACCACCATTTCCACCACGATCTCCACCACCATCTTTACCACCAGTACCCCCACTACCATCCCCACCACCACCATCACCACCACCATCATCATCACCACCATGATCTCCACCACCATCCCCACCACCATCCCCACCACCACCATGATCCCCATCACCACCATCCCCCCCCTTCCCTTCCTTTCCCGAGAGCAATGCAATCGCGGCCCTCCAGCGACGTCCTAAAATCCGGCCTCTAAACAAACGCGTTGGCAACTGAGCGCTGACCACCTTTCGGCATGAGAAGTTTATACACACAGGAAGTTTACGTCGACGGCGAGTAAGTCCCTGCTGTGTGTGATTATCTTTGTTCTTTTCCTTTCTTCGTACACTACTTTCTTTGGGTCTTCTGTCTTTCTCTTTCACTGTTCCTTTTTTCATCGTTGCTCTCTGTTCCGCTTCCTATGGTTGCCTGCTTCTCACTCGCTCTCTCTCTCTCTCTCTCTCTCTGTCTCTCCATCTCTTTATCTGTCTCTCTTACTATTTATTTATCGATCTATCCATCTAGCTATCTAGCTATATTTAATCTCTATTTGCACTTGTCTCTGTATCTATCTCTCTGTCTTCGTCAGTCTCTCTCTCTCTCTCTCTCTCTCTCTCTCTCTCTCTCTCTCTCTCTCTCTCTCTCTCTCTCTCTCTCTCTCTCTCTCTCTCTCTCTCTCTCTCCCTTCTTCTTCTTCTTCTTTTTCTTCTTCTTCTTCTCGCTCCTTCGGATTTTTCCTTTAAAATCTTCGTTCAAAAGGTCCATAAGTCACGTGATCAACCAGCCGTCGCGCACCAATCATCGTCGATCTCAAGTTGTCGGGAAAATTGTCTTTCTTAATGTGCTGAGACTTTTAGGCAGTGTAAGAGAATGGGAAAGGAGGAAGAGGCTGATTGATGGTGAGAGGGAGATAAGGAGAGGCAGAGACAGACACAGACACACACACACACTTACTGTGTGTGTGTGTGTGTGTGTGTGTGTGTGTACATATATGCATACATGTGTGCTTATATATGTGTGCGTGCGTGTATGTAAGAAATGTATGTATGTGGGAGGGAGAGAAAAAAAGAGAAAGAGAGAAAGAAAGACAGAGAGAGAGGGAGAGAGAGAGAGAGAGAGAGAGAGAGAGAGAGAGAGAGAGAGAGAGAGAGAGAGAGAGAGAGAGAGAGAGAGAGAGAGAGAGAGAGAGAATGAGAGAGAGAGAGAGAGAATGAGAGAGAGAGAGAGAGAGAGAGAGAGAGAGAGAGAGAGAGAGAGAGAGAAAGAGAGAGAGAGAGAGAGAGAGAGAGAGAGAAAGAGAGAGAGAGAGAGAGAGAGAGTAAGAATAAGAGAAAGAGTAAGAAAGAGAGAGGGAGAATAAGAGAGAGAGAGAGAGAGCGAAAGATTGTTTACACGGGACAAGTTGATCGTCTCTATCACATTATGCGCTGCAAGTTAAGCCCTGCAGGTAAACACACTCTCTGAGAGACTCTGATAAGATATTGTTCTTCCGAAAAAATCAAGTTACCTTTTCTTTTCAGGGACTAGATGTGCAGTTTTTTTCCCTCCCAATAAGATCGGGTATTTTTTTCCCCCATCTACGGTGTCCCTGTGCGTAGGAGGAAAAGCTGTTATAACTTGGTGGTGGGATACGTGCGTCATTGACTCCTTCCCGTGAGGTCTGTCGGAGGAGAAGCTGTGTCTATATATACCAGGAAGTTCTTTGTGTTGATATCGGAATCATGAAGAAACTTCTGCCTAGATCTATGCAATGTACGTGTAGTTATCTTGGTTGAGTTCTTTATCTACAAATCTAAGTGTGGAATTCAAGTTCAATAAATAAATGGTAATATATTTACCACTTTTTGTCTATTGTTAATTGGATTCGTTTGTGTGATTGGATGGGTTGGTTTACTTCCATCCAATCAGACTGCAATCTACAGTATTTATGGATGTAGTTTGTCGTTCATCGCTACAGGCGAAGTTTCATCTTCATCTTTACTTTATCAGTTTTCATTGCTTTATCTAAGATGATAATTCAGTACAGTCTTAAAGATTTCTTTGGATTAACGTATTCCAAAACAGTGAGTAAAGTTAACTGATTCTCCTCAATAGATACGAATGAAGTCATTAATTTATTTTATTTACTAATTTATTGTTCTGCTTACCTACGACAGAGACCTATATACATCCAATATATATTTCAAAATATATTCCAACAATATTCGTAAAACACAAGCCGGGCATTCGTCAGCCACCAGGGAAACATTTCTTTAGTATAAGGTACGAATATCTATGTATTTTATATAATTATAATTCAAAAACGTAGAAATTTTTAAAAATCAAAGAAAGGAATGAGGGAAGAAGAAAGAAATCAAAAACAAAGAAAGGAATGAGAGAAGCAAATAAAGGAGAAAAGAAAAAGAGAATGAAGATGACCACGGAATCAGGGATGGCAGGTGATTCCGGGTGCCTGCCTGGGTGCGCAAAACAGAAGCAGCCTCACTTAC